GAGGAGACTCCAAGGATTATCCAAATATAAAAATATTTTCAGTCGAATGTAAAATGACTGAGAACGGAATCAAACGAAAGATGTGAAAATTTTCCCGTCGTTATTAAGGAAACCGTCTCTATTCTTTCTTACAAATTTCATGCGTAATTTCTCACAAATAACCATCTATCGATTCAAGATACAAATGAAAACTATTGAAAAGCAAAATAACATTCATAAAAAATCGAATATTTTTTCATGAACGAATCCTTGTATATTGTTGATTCGAAATATTACCTGTGTGTTTTGATAAACAACAATTTATTGATGTAAAATATAAACGACAACTACTCAAAAAGAAAACAATACCCATCAAAATACCTAGGTCATTCCAAAAGTAGTGGCACTGATACTTTATTAGCATACAGTAAGCTGAAGAAAATTTTCTTTTTATATGTAGTCGTCCTAAAAATAACGTTCTATCTTCTTTCTGTGATAGTAATTCACTCTTAAATTGATGTCATGATAGGAAAACTTCGATAAACAGTATCTGTTATGATATGTGATAATGACATAATATCATATTTCTCTTTGATGCATATTCACTCGTTGATGTTCTTTCTGTTCTCTGTTCCTCTTTTTTTCTCGTCATCTTTCATATCTAATCGTCTATTCATATCCATTTAGAGAGGCACATGTCTTGTTTGCCGCTAATGTTTTTAAGAGAGTAAAAGAGCTAAAGTTAAATTAAGTCTCACATCATTCGTGTATTTACATGGATAAGGACAATTTCCGTTTCTACATTAAAGCGCGTATTGCACTTGATATTGAAGCAAGAACTATTCATGATGAATTATACACTGTTTTTGGTGACGAAGCGCCTTCTTATAGGACAGTTGCTAGATGGTCTCACTAGTTTCGTGAAGGTCAGGAAGAGGTTGAAGACGAAGATCGACCTGGTAGATCTGTGACCGAGACAACTTCTGAAAATATTGAACAAGTTCAAAGCATTATCGATGATGATCCTTGTGTTACAGTCGATGAACTGCAAGAGCAAACTGGCCTGAGTCATGCCACTCTATATCGAGTAGTATGTGATCATTTGAATCTGAAAAAGATTACCGCTCGTTATGTACCTAAACATTTGGCCGATTTTCAACGAACCGAACGAGTTCAAATATGTAAAGAAAACTTAGCAAAATCTGAACGAGGAACGTGGAGATTATGTGATGTGGTGACAGGCGATGAATCATAGTTTTATTATAAACAAACTGGCAGAAAATCATCGAATGTTGCTTGGGTGAAAAAGAGAGATCCTCCACCGACGATAGTTTGACGTAGTCGTTTCGCTCCAAGAACATTGGTATGCATTTTCTTTAACTCAACTGGTCCACTTCTAATACATTATGTTCAACGAGTGCAAACTATCGATCACGAACATTATATCAACAATTGTTTACACCACGTTATTAATGAAATCAAGAGTCAAAGATTCAGTTTTCGTACTCGTTCAATTAAACTTCATCATGATAATGGAACACCCCATTTCTATCAAGATGTACTCAATTATCTTGAATCAGAAGGTATTACAGTGATGCCACATTCACCTAATTCTCCCGATTTGGTGTCATGTGATTTTGGTTATTCGACTTAATCAAACGAAACCTGGATGATCAAGACGATTCCGAATCATTACATCGTGATATTACCAAGTTCACGAATTCTTTGAATACAGAAGAATACAAGAAGACCTTCGATAAGTGGATTCAACGCATGCAATTGTGTGTGAATAACGAAGGCGATTGTTTCGAACATTTGATGAAATAAAAGCATGTCGAACTTATTTTTGCATTTCTTTTTTGTTCCGAAGCTATTAGTATCAATTACTTTAATATGAATAGACGATTAGGCATGAAAGATGACGAGAAAAAAAAAGAAGAAAGAAAGAGGAACAGAGAACAGAAAGAACATCAACGAGTGAATATGCATCAAAGAGAAATATGATATTATGTTATTATCACATATCATAACAGATACTGTTTATCGAAGTTTTCTTATCATGACATCAATTAAAGAGTGAATTACTATCACAGAAAGAAGATAGAACGTTATTTTTAGGACGACTACATATAAAAAGAAAATTTTCTTCAGCTTAATATATGCTAATAAAGTACCAGTGCCACTACTTTTGGAATGACCTAAATACATCGAATATTTTTGAATGAATGAATCCTTAGTTGTATCATATCAAACCGTCGAAAAAGATTTTCTAAAAGTCTCATATGTAAGATTGGTATTGTTAGAAAGATCGCAAAAAACTCAGTATTACTCTAGAATATGAGCGCGGAGTATAGTGTACTTCCAAGCAAAATTTTTTCAAACAAAATTTCCTGCAAGAAGAACTTTTTCGTTGTGTCTTTACTTTTTTCTTTCGTTCTGTGTTTCGCGGCGACACATACCGGGTGACTCAAAAGTAAGCTAACCAGAAAAAGAAATTTGAATATATCCATTATGACTCGACCAAACGGGCTCAATTTTTTTACCAAGGATAAAGGCATGTTCACACTTTAAATTCATACGAACAAGGCTAGTAAGTACCTTTATTAATATCAATATTGACCTCATCAAGAAAATTTCTACTTTCCCACAGATAGGAAAAGAAAAAAATATACTTAACAAAGGTTTTCACTAATTACTCGACGACAAAAGTTTCGCCCGTCTTGAAATGAATTTTTTGTATTATTTTTGACGTATGAGAATAGAATGCAACACATATATATACAGACAAGCCCGAGACATTTACGCAGCACATAGTGGTTTTATAAGTGTTTGCTTCTTATTTGAGCAAAGTNTGTCATTTCTAGTGAAAATGACAACACCTCCATTTTTGTTTTCTCCTGCCTGATAAAAAAAACGATACTTCTGAAAAAGTTGGCAGAGAGAGGTAGAATCAAAAGAACCAACTTCTAAAAGAACCATTATATCAAAACTAAATGAGAGTGACAACATAAAAATTGCTTCGACTCTAAGGTCCAGCCCTCTTACATTAAACGACAGAACATTTAAGGAATTAGAAATAGAATAGAGATCCAATTTGAGTTTCGTAGAAATTCTTTTTACAGTGCTTACTATGATTATACTTGTGTCCCTTTTTTTCGTTCTTTCTTCTTCCTATAAAAAAAATTTCAGCAGACAACTTGTTTTTTGCGAAATAATTGAAGATAAAATAGAAACTTACAGTGACAGTTGATTATTCATTCGATGGTTTCTTTTTACTGATGCAATGTTTTAATCGTTCTGTATCTGAAAAGAAGCACAGAGACAAAGTGGGTAGTCATATTATATGATTCATTTTGGAAAAAACACATGTCGTCAGGATGTAGATTTAACTTGTCATAGTCGCATTTCTTTATAAGAGAGTAACAACGACAAAACCTATAGTCATTATATTTTAGAATACATTACACGATACAAATGGTTGTTGATAAAACTCTTTACGATGTTCTCGGAGTTGATGAAAATGCAACGACAGAAGAAATCAATAGAGTAAGAAATCGGCTTATATTTCTTCTAATGAGTGCAATAAAAAGACAACTTTTTCATGACTTTTCCCTCTTAATTGATAAAAAAAAACATTCGTTACAGTTCTTTTCTAAAGCAAATGATTTTGTGGTACTTTATAATGGCGTTTATTGTTGAATGAGTTTATTAAAAAAGGATGCTTGAACATTTTTTTAAATTTTTATTATTTTTATTCATAGGCTTTTAGAAGAAAGTCATTAGAGCACCATCCAGATCGTGGTGGCAGCCATGAAATGGTATGATCATCGATGTGTCAAAGAAAAAAATGCACCTCTTTCATTATTTAGATGCAGCAAATCAATGCTGCTAGAGAAATCTTGACAGATCCAAAAAAGCGGGATATATACGACCGTTATGGATTAGAAGGAATGAGATCAGGCATGGGTGAAGCCAACTTTGATACGTCATTTCCAGGATTTCCTGGAAACAGTAGGCTACTTAAATTCAAAAAGCTTTCTGAGTATAGATGCTTGTTTGTTTTTAGTTTTTGATATATTTGATTTATTCGGTTCCGGATCAAATCGTCGTCGACGAACAGCGCCAACGAAAGGCAGTGATATTAAACAAGTTTTGAGGTACATAAAGAGCCTAATTTTCATCTCTTGTAAAACGATTTGCTTCTTTTTAGAGTTTCTTTAGAAGAGTTGTATTCAGGTAATACGAGAACAATATCAGTCGATCTGGATGTGGTTTGTAAAGACTGTAATGGGTATGCATATAAAAATAAGTTTTATTTGATTCACGTATTATGATTCTACTCATAGTACTGGCAGTCTAGATGGAACAAGTCGTGAGTGCATAAAATGTAACGGACATGGCATTGAAACTGTAACATTTCGAATGGGTCCAATAATTCAACAGACTCAGAGCAAATGTTCATCGTGCAATGGTGAAGGTACTATGATCAATTCCAAAAATTGTTGCAAAAGTTGTCGCGGTAAAAAAGTTATTCGACAAACGAAGCATTTGGATGTAGATATAGCACCTGGAAGTCATGATGGAGAAACAATCAAGTTTAGTGGTGAAGGAAATCAAATAGTACATTTTCAGAAAATAAATACATATATATATATATTCCAGCTCATTGTATATTCTCTTTTCAGCCAAAAGGGGAAAACGGCATGGTATATGCTGTTCTTCAGCAACAGCCACATTCTGTATTTGAACGAAATGGTGATGATCTGACAATGAAGCTGAAAATAAATCTTTCTGAATCACTATGCGGGTTCCATCATGCGATTACACTGCTTGATGGGCATAAAATTCTAATTAAACATCCACCAGGCAAGCCAATCGTACCTAACAGTTACCGTTGTATAAAAGGTCAGGGTATGCCAAACAGACATACACACTCACATGGTGATTTGATCATTCATTTCGATGTGGAGTTTCCAAAAGAAAATTTTATCAAAAATGAAACTCAGTTGAAAGTAAGTCATTCTTCTCTTCACTTTAGCCCACACTCTTAGTCTATTTTTTTCAGCAACTGGAAGTCATCCTACCATCCAAACAGCGAGTAAAATTGAATAGTAAAGAACATTATGAAGAAGCTGAAATGACAGAATGTGAACCAAAACGAAAGAAATCTCAACAGCCACATTTTGGAAACGGTTATCATCATCATGGAGCAGAAAATGGAGAAGATGATGATATTCCTAGTCATCATCAAGGAGCTCAGTGTCAAACACAATAGGCACTTATGAGTTTCTTTTATTTTTCAACAGTTCAGAAATATAACTCTTTTAAGATATTTTTATCATTGTAGGAAATGCTCTTATTGCTTTTATTTTTGAACAAATAAAGGGCCATGTCACCAAATCATCTCACACTTGAAACGAATTTCTAGTATGACAAGCGTCTTGTCATTTACAAACAGTGTATTCCCTTGTAAAATGATACAGTGATGGTGTGAGTCTGGTTGTGGATGTAAGACAAAGCAGACTCATACCCACACCCAACTGCCGGGGTGACAATCTACTCAGCTTTGTTACTCGTATGCTTATCAAAATATACAATAATTTATTTTGATTTGATTTTATAGAATCTATGAATTTTTATGATTTGTGTGTCTCTTTTTATGTGGATGTTCAGTTCTGTTCGTTATGCTACTGTTCAGTTATTCGACACGAGATCAAATTTGTGGACTCGATGATTTCCATTTTCAGCGACATAGAGATTGCCGTGTCGATCGACTGACAGACTGGTGGGTCAACGCATGATTCGGGCATTCCCTCCATTAGCCACATAGACAGTCCCCCATTGAGTGGCAATGACTCTTTCAGGGCAAAAAAAATTGTGTCAGAGCATCTCCTCTTCCTTGACTCCCAGTCATATCAATGCCTTCTGTTGCATCTGCCACCCATTTCATCCCACGATGACTTTCCAGATCAGATACGTACACTGAATGATCTCGATCGATGAATATGTATCGTGGAGAAGATAGTTGATCGAGACAATTCCCACGTCCATTACCACCTGCCACTACTGTTTCCTTGAGATTCTTTTCTTCGATATCGTCTCACTTCATGTCTTGATCCAGCAGTAATATAGAGACATCCATTTTTGTCCATGATCAAACCGCCACTAGCGACGTTGGAGATGATTGTTTCTCAGCTTGTCACATTTCCACGAGGCCATCGAACCACTCTTCCATTTTAGAAATCACAGATGATAAGACTATCCATCTTTTTGTCAACAATCACATAGTTTGAGTGAAACAATTGACGTATTCCACTGTCATCTCCATTCCGACCAGCAACCACTTGACCACTCTTTGTATTCCATTTCCATTCCACAATACGTTGATTTCATCGATCAGCGACATATATTGTTTGATCATCATCAACATACAAACTCCATGGATAAGAGAGTTGACTGATTTCATAGCCTTCTTCATTTCCTCCAACCACAGTAATACCATCCTTTTGCCACCGAGCCATCGGATGAATGGAGGTATTGAACGGAGAGAGTAATGGATAGCCTGAAATAGAAACAAGTACAATTATAAGATAAGAGAGAATGAAATAGATGCAACTATTCATGGAAATTGGATTTGCTACAAAACGAGAAAACTCTTTTAGTCAAATTATCAACTTGGCCAAAAATGATCGTATTGGCTTCACTATGTTGTTGCATTTTTGTAAAAATGAGTTGACTGAATGATACTTTATGAAGGCTTTTTAAAACTACGATCGAGGATGATCCCTGTAACAGATGTATACTAATATTCATATGATACGGCTACAATACATGCCTTCACTCTGAGTAGTACTATACCATTACTTTAAAATTAAAGCAACAGTAAGCAGAACTCTTTAATACTTCTTCCACCGAACCATCAGAAGCTGTTTTTAATAATTCTAAGCCGCATTCATAACTGTTTATCGATCACTCAATGCAGGCTTCTGTAACACTTCGTCGAATGCTGTGTGAGGAATGTCAATGCCTCGTCATAAGTTAATCAAGAGATCTGATAGATTATTCTTGAATTACTACTCTCTCGAACGTAAAGAATGCTTCATAAGTTCTGGATTTCAACCAAAATTAGTTTACTTATAAATAAAGAGTGATGTCTACCGAACTATATCTATATGAGCTTTGAACACTTAAGACGATCTTTTAAATGAGGGTGTGGATATGGGTGTCTCTTCTCTAGTCATTCTCACCCACACCCACACCCCACCCTCTTTGTGTAAACTTTTATTGAATCGGATTCAGTAAAAGTTTACACAAAGAGTATGAATTGTTTGAAGCGAAGACTTCATATTGATGCTTCAACTGAATCAACAAAATGGCAAATATCTGTACTATTGTAGTAAGGTTGTTTCATCGAAGAGATGCTAAGCTTTTTCACAACTTCTCTTTTTATGACGAATCCTTGATAGACATACAGTCACGTCTTTCACTCCAAATTAGCCTCCTGTCGCTGCTCGTGAGCATATTAAAAGCTTTAACTTGAGAAAAAGTTGAGAACTAGAACTATTATTTATCATCCCTGCCTAATCAAATCTAAAATAAAGAAATACACCATCTGTATAATTTTCGCATAGCCTTCTCTCTTTATTACTTTATATACTTAGGCCATTCCAAAAGTAGTGGCACTGGTACTTTATTAGCATATAGTAAGCTAAACGAAATTTTCTTTTTATATGTAATGGTACTAAAAATAACGCTCTATCTTTGTGTGATAGTGATTCGCTCTTAAACTGACGTCATGATAGAAAAACTTCGATAAACAGTATCTGATATGATATGTGAAAATAACATAATAGCATATTTCTCTTTGATGCATATTCACTCGTTCATGTTATTTCTGTTCTTTACTCCTCTTTCTTTCTTCCTCTTTTTTTTCTTGTTGTCTTTCATACCTAATCGTCTATTCATGTACATTTATAGAGACACGTGTCTTGTTTGCCACTAACGTTTTTAAGAGAGCGAAAGAGATAAAGTTAAATTAAGTTTTATATCATTTTCGTCTATTTACATGGATAAGGAAAATGTTCGTTTCTACATTAAAGTGCGTACTGCACTTGGTATTGAAGCAAGAACTATTCATGATGAATTATATACTGGTTTTGGGGACAAAGCTCCTTCTTATAGAACAGTTGCTAGATGGTCTCACTTGTTTCGTGAAGACCGGAAAGAAGTTGAAGATGAAGATCGACCTGGTAGACCTGTGACCGAGACAACTTCTGAAAATATTGAACAAGTTCAAAGCATTATTGATGATGATCCTTTTGTTACGGTCGATGAACTGCAAGAGCAAACTGGTCTTAGTCATGGCACTGTATATCGAATAGTATCCGATCATTTGAAGCTGATGAAGATTACCGCTCGTTATGTACCTAAACATTTGACCGATTTTCAACGAGCTGAACGAGTTCGAATATGTAAAGAAAACTTAGCAAAATTTGAACGAGGATCGTGGAAATTATGTGATGTTGTGACAGGCGACGAATCATGGTTTTATCATAAACAAACTGGGAGAAAATTATCAAATGCTGCTTGGGTGAAAAAGGGAGATCCTCCACCGACGATAGTTCGACGTAGTCGTTTCGCTCCAAGAACATTGGTATGCATTTTCTTTAACTCAACTGGTCCACTTCTGATACATTATGTTCAACGAGAGCAAACTATCGATCACGAATATTATATCGAGAATTGTTTATACCCCGTTATTAATGAAATCAAGAGCCAAAGATCCAGTTTCGGTACTCGTTCAATTAAACTTCATCACGATAATGGAACACCCCATTTTCATCAAGAAGTGCTTAATTATCTTGAATCAGAAGGTATTACGGTGATGCCACATCCACCTAATTCTCCCGATTTGGCACCATGTGATTTTTGGTTATTCGACTTAATCAAACGAAATCTAGATGATCAAGACGATTCCGAATCATTACATCGTGCTATTACCGAGTTCATGAATTCTATGAGTATAGAAGAGTACAAGAAGACCTTCGATAAGTGGATTCAACGAATGCAATTGTGTGTGGATAACGAAGGCGATTATTTCGAACATTTGATGAAATAAAAACTTGTCGAAGATATTTTTGCATTTTTTTTTGTTCCGAAGCTATTACTTTCAGTTGTTCTAATATGAATAGACGATTAGGTATGAAGGACAACAAGAAAAAAAAGAGGAAGAAAGAAAGAGGAGCAAAGAACAGAAAGAACATGAACGAGTGAATATGCATGAAAGAGAAATATGCTATTATGTTATTTTTACATACCATATCAGATACTGTTTATCGAAGTTTTTCTATCATGACGTCAGTTTAAGAGCGAATCACTGTCACACAAAGATAGAGCGTTATTTTTAGTACCATTACATATAAAAAGAAAATTTCTTTTAGCTTACTATATGCTAATAAAGTACCAGTGCCACTACTATTGGAATGGCCTAAGTATTATACTTTGTTTGATTTATCAGGGTTTATTCATCATTCTTCATTTGTGTTCATTACAAATCATTGTCAGAAACAGAATCAAATGAACTTATGAGTCAAGTGTCACCAAGAAGCAACTGGTATGATTATAAAACAGTTTGATGAGGAAAGACTCGTGGATACAGAAATAAAGATAGATCCTTCGAAAAATGTAACTGAGCATCAATAATGGAATCATACAGTAATGCTAGGAGTAGCTTTCTAATTCAAGTTCGAATATAAATGAAAATTTCGAAAGCACACTCCCTTTTTAAGGCGAAAGCAAAAGATAAAATTTTATTCGAATTCGAGTTTATAATTGAAAGGAGGCTGTTACAGTGATGTCGCCTGTATACACACATTCTCTATATCAGTATTATCCTCTATCCTCTTTCATCTCTGTTTGATCTTGTATTCGTTCTTTTCGTTCTTCTCGTTCTTCTCATGATATATGTATTCTTTTATATCGTTATAAAAACAGTTGTTACTTTTCCTTACGAAATAAAGTAGTCCACGTACATCAAGGACATACGAATATATATCTCTCTCCATCGAACCTCACATAGAGCGAAGAGAGAACGTTAACAGAGGCCTTCCGTATAAGTACGGCAAAAAACTAAAACTGTAAAGTTTTTTTCGAATTCGAAATTTCGAGTTGAATCGAGGCTTCAAAATTATTCGGATTATAGTTCTTCAAACATTCAAACCAAGACACAAAGTGGCATGACGCAGCTACCATCTGAGATGCCATAAATTGCAATGTACGTCCCAAATACACCAGCTAGATCTCTGAAGGAAGCACTTCAGACGCTCCGCTGTAATAGCAAAGTACCAATTGAAAGGAAGCAAGCTACGTCTCAAAAAACATCCTCGAAAATATAGGTACAATGGTGAAATCAACCTGCAAGAGTACCACTGGAAATATATCTGGAAAAAAAAAGTGTGTACTGGATCCTTACATCTGAGCACCGATAATCTGGTATCGGAGTAATGCTGAAATAAAACTGCTGAGCATTACTGCTAATATAAAAGCAATATCTTTTTACCTGAATAATGATCCTAGTATGATATCATTTTTTTTTGATTACTGTGCACATAGAGACGCGTATGGATTGCAGCTCTTCCGGGGGAGCGGGGAGACGCTTCAAGGTTCCACGCCGCGACACTAAAATAAAAGGTCACTTCTACGGAGAGAAGCGCTTCTGTGTGTAGATTGTGGATGATCACAGCTTCGAGTTATAGAATAATGAAAACGGAAATACGGCATTCATTACTACACTGACAAGCTTAAAGCTGTTTCGAAAATATAACTCCAAAAGATTTCATTTCGGCGTTTTACCAATAGTTAGATTACATTTTAGTCTCAATCCGAGAATTCGAATTCGAAAAAAAATGTAAACTTTTGCTTTTTCGCCATACTTATATCGAAGCCTTTTTCTCATCTATTTTATAAGTGATATCGTGCAGCTGAAGGGACTCAAAGTCTCTTTACGCTTCTACATGTGATATCATTCTTTTTCTGTTATTTATTATTTAATCGATCTTTTACACTAGAAATGCCATGTCAATTGATGTTGCTTCTTGTCTTTTGTAGATGTGCGATACAAGTTGTTCAATTATCGTACACCAACGGAAACGACGTTACTGGTTGAAGCCTAAAGATACGAAAAACCATATGATGCACTATTGTATCGCGTGAGAAGTCAGTATCATGTTTAAATATCGCTTCTAGGAGGATTTTCGATTCAACAAATAGTATAATAGACGAGTTTGACAGAAATTTTTTTCTTCATTTGGGTCTTAATCAAGGTGCTTACCAATTCTGTTTACTGTAAGTTGAGTTGTGCATTTCGACCATATGAAATGTATAGATTACCCTTGATATTGGTGATGTATCTAAAGAAAAATGTGTAACAGAAAATCGATTTACTATAGTCTTCTATATACTTTTTTCGCTTTTGTGGAGGACTTGACCGTGTATAAGAATGCAATCACCTGGAAATAAAATTTTGTGAGCTAAATAAAAAGTGTTACAGAATTTGACTAGCTTACCAGCTTTGACCTCTACCGGAACAAATTCTGCATCATCATAAGGTTCGTCTTCTCCTGTGAAAATAAACATTGAACCTTCATTAAATTCTTTTTCATCGGGATTTCGAATGAAACGACGTCGAATAGGTTCTAAATGTTATTCAAGCTGTCGCAAACAAATACAAAAAAAAGAGGACTCACTAGAATTTGAACCAGGTATAAACCAGAGACAGCTATTGTTGATAGTAGCATCTTCCAGAGCAATCCAAAAGCCTACTATCTTTAGCGGTTCATTATACACGAATGTGCCATCTTGATGGACCGGCACTATTGAATGGAAAGAATAGATAATTCAGTTATTATATAAACAGACTTAATTTACCTTTCGTTCCTATGAATGGCTGCTTAAAAATGGACAACGATTGGCGTACTGCAGGTTGGATAAAGTTGAGATCATGCAGAACGGCCTGATGAATAAATGAGGAAACTCTAGAAATAGATTGATTCATTTACTTTACTTTGACTTTATCTGAAAATGTCACACTTTTGAACTCGGGTTCGAGCATATGAAGATTATGGCCGACCCGTCTCACACTGAAACGTTTGTCTTGATTGAGTTTGCCTGTTTATATTGTTATTAATCGATGGAAAACTAAAGATTAAAAAAGAGAAAGAATTTTTTTTTCTTTACACGCTACCTGTTTCAGGATTAATAGCATCTTCTTCCATGAAGCAAAATATCTTATCGGTGCTATCGATTGTTTGCTGATGGATACAGTGTGTTTTGTTTTCAGCATTGGAAAATAGCCATGGATTCTCACGTTCTGGGTTCCAAGTATCTACTATTCGATCGAGAGTGCCTTTCAACTTTTGACATTCATCAAGAGTTATGAATTCTTTCAAGACAAGATAACCATCTTGGTCGTACTGTAACGAATATTATGCAAGAGTACGAAATAATAACAATATACATACACGATGAATTTGCTCTTCGGTCAACATTTTGCTTGGCAAGAATACGTGGATGTGTGTTCGTCTTACCTCTCAACTTTTTATATACAAGAATAGGACAGGCAAACAAGAAAAGGAGCCAATGAAACCAAAAGGATTGTGATATTGACAATTCAAATATATCTGTTTCAAAATGACGTGGAGCGTAGAATATATGAATTCAAGCTGTGAATAGTAAAATGTCTATAATATATAGGATCAACTTGTAGCTAGGCTCGTGTGCACTGCAAACGTCATGATAGCATAGAACAAAAAATGCAATGGTAATGTTTCTTCAACAGTTTACTTATTAGTTATCAGTTTGAAGACGTGTCCACTTTCAAAAGATAGTGTTATGTAGCAAGATAGTGACTATGCAACTTTTGTCTTTCTCACTTGAAGATTGAGGAGCTCATCGAAAACAGCAGAGAGAAAAAAATAAAAGAAGAAAACGATGCTTATGTGTTTGTATATACATATAAGAGATGAACACACAGAGAATGTAAGAGTATGAATCCAGGTTGCCATCTTGTCCACATCTTACGGCTGATATGAAGCCTTCTGGTTCGTCTAGTAACAAAGAAACAAGTGACACAAAAACAAAGAAAATAAGTTAAGAGTAGAAAGAGCCATTAAACAATCGCCTAGTGATTTTTTCGGAATGCTACAAATAGGGTGTGGTATGTATATTCGGATGTTGGTAAACTGTTTTTTAGTGGTTCTGTAATAGTCGATATATGTTTTGGGTTTGTTTGGTTCTGTGAAGAATTTGTGGGCAGTTGTTTGAAGAAATGCTGATGATTCCGCTGTTTTGTGTCTGTCTCTGTTCTGGTCATTTGGTGATTAGTTGTGCAGCTGGATTCAACGAATGTCTTTTTGAGTTGGTTTGTGTAGCTGGTGCATGATTTTTTTTGCGTATCTTATCTAGAACGAATAGGAAGTAGGATTAGTTTCGAGATACCATGTATGTATCATGATGATAGAGCTTATTTTTATACTTAAAACAGTTGCGAGTTTTAGTTTTACGCCTTTATAGGAATGTTTGAGAGAGTCGAAAAAAAAATTGAATCAAAAAGCTTGAAAGAAAGGATCATTGCTTATGCTGTTTAATTCTTGGCACTGTTAGGTTGCTGAGTCTTAGGCATGGGTTTTCTAACTAACTTTTGAAGTGCAGATTTTTTTTATGTACAAATGTGTCTTCCAATGTTCGTTTTGTTCTCACAATAAATTTGATGCTGACATGTTTAACATTGTATTCTTAGTGTTCTAAATGTCTTTCACACCATGTACAAAATTCCCGTTGAAAAGCTAACCTCGGTTCACTCTCGAAAATAATATTTTGCATACATGACATTAAGATCCGAAGTTCTTTTTTCTGGGTGTAAATCAATTGAAAACAGATCGACCTATCTTTTAATCGAAAGACAAGTTCAATCCTGCTAGTCTCAACTTTTCATTTTCAACAGTCGGCCTAGTCGTAGAATTGATAACAGTAAACTAATAAGCAAATATGCTTGATAAAAGTAATTAAAAAAAACAGAGTTGATTTCGCCGACATGTTTCGTGTTATTTCTTAAGATATTGA